TCTTTTCATGAGCAAACAGTACCTCTTCTTAAAGTGCACTTTGCAGAAGTTTCACCCCTTTTCCAATGAGTTTGAGTTAGGAGCTTTTACCCTGTAGCAGAGCAGTATTAACATCTAGTTGGGTCACCTAGGGAACAAAGAGGCTGACCATACGGCTCACCGTGTGGACGCTGGTAACACTGATTGCTGGAGAAGGTGTTTTTATGTGATACACTGACATGGAAACCTCAGTAGAGAAATGTAAAGACTGATTTGAATTTTAAGCTGATGTGAAATCTTGGCAGAGAACGTTTTAATAAATAAATGCCTTAAGAGTAAAAAAAAAAAAAATGAAGTCTTGCCATTTGCAACAACATGGATGGTGCTAGAGAGTACAAAGCCAAGCGAAATAAGTCAGTCAGAGAAAGACAAATACCGTATGATTTCACTCATATGTGAAATTTAAGAAACGAAACAAACGAGCAAAGGAAAAAAGAGAGAAAGAATCAAACCAAAAAACAGACTCTTAACTCTAGAGAACAAACTGATGGTTACCGGAGGGGAGGGGGGTGGGGGGCGGGGGAAATAAGTAAAGGGGACAAGGAGTGCACTTGTGATGAGCACGGAGTCATGTACAGAATTGTTGAATCACTATATTGTACACCTGCAACTATTATAACACTGAATGTTAACTCTACTGGAATTAAAATTTTTAAAAAGATACGTTTTATATTTCCACATTCCCAAACTGTGTAACCCTGGAAAAAATCACTTAACCTTCTATAAAATGGAAAAAATAAACTCTTATCTAGCAGGCTCATTATGAGAACCAAATTAGCTAAGGTATCTCTAAGGGCCTGGCAGTCAGTGATGTGTCCTCTCGAGTTCAGTCAAATGTGAAATCTGTGGGGGCTTGGAGCATTTGCTTCTCAGCTCTCTCCCCCCCTGTATCCCCAAAGTGTGCAGGAAGTAGCTCTGACGGTACCTGTGTGTGTTTCTATGTGTCATTTACACCAGTCTCAATTTCCCTATCTGTAAATGGGGTGCCCTCCTTTGCAGGGTTGTTGTGAGAAAGTGAACTTGGCATACAGCTTCATCTACCTGGTCAGTAATTCCAAATGTTCAGTAATTCCATGTTCAGCTGACCAAGACTTCCCATGCGTGGAACCTCCACATCCTTCCCTCCCTGGGCCACATTTCAACATTCAGTACAGCCAAGAGTTATCGAGTGCCGGGGCACCTCGGTGGCTCAGTTGGTTAAGCGACTGCCTTCGGCTCAGGTCATGATCCTGGAGTCCCGGGATCGAGTCCCACATCGGGCTCCCTGCTCAGCAGGGAGTCTGCTTCTCCCTCTAACCCTCCCCCCTCTCATGTACTCTCTCTCTCTCTCTCTCTCTCTCTCTCATTCTCACTCTCTCAAATAAACAAATAAATCTTTAAAAAAAAAAAAAAGAGTTATCAAGTGCCCACTGTGTGCAGGCTCTGTTCTAGATTCCAAAGGATACCAAGGGTTTATAATGGACTAGATCACCTAGCACTGGGGAACTGTCACACTCTACTGTGCCTCCTCTGCCTCCTCTGCCACAGCACACAAAAGGGTTGGCAGCACCACTGGGGACAGGGATATAGTCCATGATACAGGAACAGGCCAAAGGAGACTGACCCTAAATGGCTAGTCCAGGGAACATCACTGTCACCATGAGCAGCCGGGCCATAACTATTGGATGGGAGGAGAAAAGGGTGGGTTCTCAATACCTATGCTTTTCATCTGGCCCCATAGCCTCTCACCCCTTCCTCAACCAGTGACAGACACCTACTCTCTGACTCAGCACACACACCATCACAGCTTGTCTCCTTCCTACACTTAAGGATGTGTCAGGAGACAGTGGGAGAGACTGCTGACTGAAGGTGGACTGTAGACCCTAGGCAGCCCACAATAGGAGTGCTCTCTGCTGTCAATTGTTGATAGCACAGCTCAGAAGCCAGCTCCAGAGCCAGCTCCAGCTTCCAGAAGGACATCTGAGGTGTATGGGGCAGATCTCCCAGCATCTCCCAGATGCTGGCCATGCATGGTAAATGAGGTAATTTTAGGTCAAAAGTATATTGTTGGGTTTTCACAGTGCTGATCTATAGACAGGTATATAGTCAAAGGGAGATTTTACATAAAAATCTGGTTTGCTGATTTCTCTTGAAAAATTAGTTGACCATACAGCTGAAGGTCCATTTCTGGGCTCTCGATTCTGTTCCATTGATCTATGTGTCTGTTTTTGTGCCAGTACCATACTGTCTTGATGATTACAGATTTGTAATAGAGCTGGAAGTCCGGAACTGTAATGTCACCAGCTTTGCTTTTCTTTTTCAACATTCCTCTGGCTGGTCGGGGTCTTTTCTGGTTCCATACAAATTTTAGGATTATTTGTTCCATTTCTTTGAAAAAAGTGGATGGTACTTTGATAGGGATTGCATTAAATGTGTAGATTGCTCTAGGTAGCATAGACTTTTTCATAATATTTGTTCTTCCAATCCATGAGCATGAAACGTTTTTCCATTTCTTTGTGTCTCCCTCGATTTCTTTCATGAGTATTCTATAGTTTCTTGAGTACAGATACTTGTCTCTGGTTTCTCCAAAGAAGACATCCAAATGGCCAACAGACACATGAAAAAGTGCTCATCATCACTTGGCATCAGGGAAATACAAATCAAAACCACAATGAGATACTACCTCACACCAGTCAGAATGGCTAAAATTAACAAGTCAGGAAACGACAGATGCTGGCAAGGATGCAGAGAAAGGGGAACCCTCTTACACTGTGGGTGGGAATGCAAGCTGGTGCAGCCACTCTGAAAAACAGTATGGAGGTTCCTCAAAAAGTTGAAAATAGAGCTACCCTATGACCCAGCAAATGCACTACTAGGTATTTACCCCAAAGATACAAATGTAGTGATTCAAAGAGGCACGTGCCCTCCAATGTTTATAGCAGCAAGATCCACAATAGCCAAACTATGGAAAGAGCCAAGATGTCCATCGACAGATGAATGGATAAAGAAGATGTGGTATAGATTTACAATGGAACATTATGCAGCCATCAAAAAAATGAAATCTTGCCATTTGCAATGACGTGGGTGGAACTAGAGGGTATTATGCTAAGCAAAATAAGTCAATCAGAGAAAGACAATTATCATATGATCTCATTGATATGTGGAATTCAAGAAACAAGACAGAGGATCATAGGGGAAGAGAGGAAAAAATGAAACAAGACGAAACCAGAGAGGGAGACGGACCATTAAGAGATCTTAATCTCAGGAAAAAAACTGAGGGTTGCTGGAGTGGAGGGGGGTGGGAGGGATGGGGTGGCTGGGTGATGGACATTGGGGAGGGTATGTGCAATGGTGAGCGCTGTGAATTGTGTAAGACTCAAGAATCACAGACTTGTACCCCTGAAACAAATAATACATTATATGTTAATAAAAATGTTTAAAAATAAAAATAAATAAATAGATTTTTGGCATTGGTGAAGGATGGGAAAATGGGCAATTTCAAACAGCTTTTTTTTTTAAATAATTTGGCACCACATATGAAAATGTAAAGTCCTCAAAAATGCAGGAATCAGAGCTTTTGCTACAGCATTACATGCACTATTAGAATTAGAATCAACTTAAATGTCCACTAATTGGGTATTCATTAAATAGATTATGATATATATCCTAAAATGAAACATTCTGCAACCATTATGAAGAATAAGTTGTGCTAATGAAAAAAGGTATCCAAGATACACATTGTTAAAGTGAAAAACAACTGACATAATAGTATGTTTTTTAAAAACTCATAAAAAGGGGCACCTGGGTGGCTCAGTGGGTGAAGTGTCTCCCTTCAGCTCAGGTCATGATCCCAGGGTCCTGGGATCGAGCCCCCACATCGGGCTCCCTGCTTGGCGGGAAGCCTGCTTCTCCCTCTCCTTCTCCCCCTGCTTGTGTTCCCTCTCTCACTGTCTCTCTCTCTGTCAAAGAAATAAATAGAATCTTTAAAAAAGAAAATAAAAAATAAAAACTCATATGAGAGATTCAAGGGTGATATTCAAATATTTAACTACCAGACTTGCACAGGCACTAACCCTAGAGCAGGAAACTAGACAGCCTTCTGGAGCCAGTCTTAACCCTTTACTTGCTACACTGTGGGGGTGCTGGAGGGAAGAGCTAGGGCAGACAAGGTGCTAGCTGGAAATACTTGGAGGGCTTGTGGCCAAAGCTTCTTACTGATAGCATGCTATACACGCAGAGAAAAAGAGAGAGATAAATACCAAATTTGACATGGTACAAAAGGCATTTTCACCCTTTGCTCTATACAATCTTGTTTGAAATTTTAAGAATGAGTGTGGGATTTGAGAAAAAATAATTAATATAGAGAAGCCAACAGCATGGCCTATTTCCAAAGTCTATTGTGACATAAACATGTGGCACAGACTAACAGAAAAGGCCAGAAGGAATCCAGGGCCATCTGGAGCCCCAGAAATCCCACACTTCTTACTACTCATAGCTTTAACCCTTTGCTCCACCCCCCTCACTACCACATCTTGATATATCCTTTTCTATGAAACAAACTGTACTTCTTAAGCAATACATTATTAATTTATTTCCCACATTTTATTAATCAGAGACATTTTACTGTCAGGTAAATCTCCCTATAAACATCAAATTATCAACATTAACACAATGAATTCATATAATCACAGCCCCACATAAAGAAATGTGACATTCAGATTGACCTATTTGGTCCCATCATGAAACAACTCATATATTTTTGAAGCATTAAAACTGTTCCTGGGGCGCCTGGGTGACTCAGTCGGTTAAGCATCGGACTCTTAATTTCAGCTCAGGTCATGATCTCAGGGCCGTGAGTTTGAGCCCCACCTCTGGCTTGCGCTGGGCATGGAGCCTGCTTAAGATTCTCTCTCCCTCTCCCTCTGCCCCCTGCCCCCATCCTGCTCTCACGGGTATGCATGCACTCTCTCTCTCTCTCTAAAAAAAAAAAAAAGAAAAAGAAAGAAATATTAAAGCTATTCCTATCCTTTCAAAACCTTTGGCAATGTTAGCTGGACCATCCATCATGTATTCTCCAGATGTAGAAATTAGATCCAATGTGTGTGACTTTCCTCCCTGAAAGGGCCGGCCATGAAAATCCTCACCTGTGGGGACAATCAGGAGAGCTGAAAACCAGCAGGGGTTCAGCTGTGAGAAGGAACAGCAGGCCCCAAAATCTGACCATGGTATCAGATATCTAAGAATCCAGAGCAAGTAGCCAGGCATAAATAAAGCTCGGCAGGAGACATGACTTGTATTTTTAATAAGACTGTCAGAGCAGTGATTCCCAAAGGGGGAAATATCAAAATGAAAGGGGATGGGGGGTTGGAGAATGTAGTTTGAAAAATCATCATATTTTTATATTTGGAAAAAATAGAAACTATTTTTCCCATAAAGCCAACTATCAAAAGGAAAGTGTTAGAAAATCTTGGCTGATGAATATTTGTAAAAGAAATATTGATTCTCACACTTCCTGGAAAGAGGAGGTATATTTTTCCGTCACTGTTAAAGGGGAAGTGGTTTGTAAAAATAGAATTGGTAATTTGCTTTTATGAGCCAATTGCGGTAGGATAGGGAACAGCAGAACACCCTGGGAAAAGCAAGAGGGTATCAGAGGGGGATGTGGCCAGTCGTTAGGATAAGTACGAGGGACCTATAATGGACTGAATGTTCATGTCCCCCCAACATTCATATGTCGAAATCCTATCCCTCAATGTGATGATATTAGGAGGTGGGGCCTTTGGGAGGTAATTAGGTCATGAGGGTGAAGCCCTCATGAGGGGATCAGTTCCTCTGTAAAAGAGACCCCAGAGATCTCCCTTGACCCTTTCCACTATATGAAGATTCAACAAGAAAAGTGCCCTCTGCCACCGGAAGAGGATCCTCACCCTAATCTTAGACTACCAGCCTCCAGAACCATGAGAAGTAAATTTCTGTTGTTTATATGCCACCCAGTCTATGATACTTGGCTACTGCAGCCCAGATTGACCAAGACAGAACATTGTCTGCTTGATCCAGCTGTATCTTCAGCAACTAAATCAGTGCTCGGCACACCAAAGGCACTCAGTTAATGCTCACTGACTGAATGCATTAAGGAATATCAAAATCAGGACCAGAAATCAGGTCTCTTTTTCCCCAGTCAATTCTCTAACAGGTCCTAAAATTAATCTTACGGAAGTAAATTTAACAAGTAGCAAAACTGTTAGCTGCCCCTCCTAACACCCATTTTCTCTTCCTCCTTAAATTTTTCAGCTTCTCTTACAGGTACACTCTGACCAGTGAGATGTAAGGGGAAGCATTATAAGGGACTTGTAGGAAGTCTCCATAAAATAAAGGAGGTACACCTTCTTCCTTCCTTCCACCTGCTGCCCGAAATGCAGACATAATGGGCTGGAGATCAAGCAACCATATAGATCATGGGCTATGGACACTAAGGATGGCAAATGACAAACAAAAAGATGCAAGAAACCTAGGTCCCCAGTGACTGCAGTGACCATACCCATCCCCCACCACCGCCAAATCACCTACCTTCAGACTTCTTTTACATGAGAGAGAAAGAAGCTTCTCTATTTTACACACCGATGGTCTTTGGGGTTTTTCTACTACAGACAGAGAAAGCTGACCCTTCCTGATATGTGGGTAAGCCCCCAGCCCCGAGCAACGTGGGCATGAACCGAAATGGGTAAGCCCCCACCCCCCAGGCAACGTGGGCATGAACCGAAAGCTGCCACTCCAGGAAGCGTCCAGTCCTACGACACAGCAGCAGCAACCCAGTGCTGGCTCTATTTGTTACCTGGACCCAGCGTCCCAGTCCCCGAGGCCTCTGGGCCTTGAATCAGGTCCCTGTAAGTCCTAGGACAGTGCTTACGGCAGAGGTTCTCCACCAGCGTGTTGCTTCCTCTGACCACAGTCCTTCCTTCCTTGTTCATGTAGTTCCACAGATGCAGGGCGTAGGAGTCATTGAAGCTCAGGTCTCTGTCCCAGACTTCATAGTAGCGCCTCCACTCCGGATAGGAGATGGGGTAAAATCTTTGGGGGTGTAGGAAGGACAAGTTCAAACACCTGAGGTCACTCACCTCCTGGAAGTCTCCAAGTTTGCACCACAGTCTCAACATCCTCGTCATCAAACCGGGACCCTGGTTGCCCCAAATTTCTGAATTGTAGTGTTCAACAAAGTTTTCCATGCACTCCCACAGGAAGGGGTGGTGGGGGAGGAACCCAAACACCCCATTACTAGAGTACCGAGAAGACTGTGCAGCCAGAAAGTTCTCCTCGCGGATGGGCCTGATGGAGATGACATCAGTATCCATGTAGATGCCGCCATACTTCCAGATGATGGCCAGGCGGGACGCATCTGAGCTGACGTGGAGCCAGTTGCTCTCTACGCTGGCATTGATCTGCAAGAACGGGAGCAAATCAGCCACAGCAGCAGCAGGAAAGGGCAAGGTGTCCCAAAGGGAGGTCAGCCCAGGGCGGCTGAGGAGAAGGAAGAAAGCCAGCTTCTCAAAACTCTACCGCACAAAAGCCCAATTTTGCAAATTTACCAAACTTACCTCCACCCAAAAATTTGCCTTCAAGTGAAAAGTTTACAGCAATCTAACAACGGGAAGATTTTAGCAGCTTTTAAAGATTTTGTGAATTTGCTTTAAAAAAAAAAAAAATTGAAGCAGTGGAATGGTAAAGGAGAAACCCAGCAGGGATTTCACAATAAACCCTTTGAGTCATTTTCAGCTGGGTGTACATTAACCACAAATATGAAACTGTGAAGAAAGAATTTCTTGAGTCCTAAAAATGCTAAAAACTGATCAAGAAAAAATATACTAGGAAACTGTAAATAGATCAATATGGATGCTCTTTGAGAAATTGGTAGAAGACTCTTAAAATGCATGCATGTTTTCTTTCACTAGTTAATTCCTTTGATAATATTCATGGAGGGCCTACTTTCTATGTGCCAAGCTCTGTTATAGTTGCTAAGGAGATAGCAGTAAACAGATAAAAATCCTTACTGGGTGGAGATAGACAATAAACAAATCAATATATAATATGTTGGGTGTTCATAAGGACCGCGAAGGAAAAAAAGCTGGATAAGGGGACTCTGTGAAGGGGGCGGGATGGAGCACTATCTTATCTTGGCTTCCAATAGAAACCTGAATGAAGTTGTTGAGTGAACCATGCCGATATCTCAGAGAAAAGGGTTCTAGGTAGAAGGACAGCAAGTGCAAGGGCCCTGAGCTACCAGCACACTCTCTGTGTGCAGGAACAGAAAGGAGGCAGTGTGGCCAAAGCAGAGTAGTGAAGGAGAGGGATAGGAGATGAGAACAGAGAGGGATGGGTGGAGAGGGAGGGCAGATCACATAGGCTGGGGTAAAGACTGAAATTATTTGGAAGGTTTGGAAGAAAGGAGTGATGTGATCTGACTTAGTCTTAAAAAGGTCATGCTGGCTGCTATGTGGAAAACCAACAGGGACGGGGCTTGGGAGGTGGCAAGGGCAGAAGCACAGAGGCAAGTTAGGAAAGGCTGTTGAAGTGGTCAGAAGTGTCCCAGGGCCCACCTTGTTCCTAAAATTCAACATTGTAAGATTGACATACAGCTCAGAGGACCTATGCTCTATGGAACATTAGCTCCAAGAAAACATTTATGTCTTACCGAAAGAGGTGTCCATGCTCAAATAAGTTTGGAAAATGCTGGGTTGAAAAAAATTAATGTTTCTTTAGTTCAAAAGTACAGAAACTTTCAACTCCTCATGTACATGATTAGTCTGCGAGGGGAAAAAGGGGGAAGGGTATAGTATGCAGCATCTTCCAAGACAAGTGGAGCAGAGATTTATTTGTCCAAGGAGCAAAGCACAGTTAAGCTAATGTTCACTAGCCCAGGTGTGGGGAAAGTAGGCCAACACACTGCCTGTGCTTGTTTAGTCCTCCTGAAACACCCTCTAGCAGGTTAGCCCTGAGAGTGACAGGAGCCTCTCCAGCGTGTCCCCTCCAGGGGGCCCCCTCCACTGCCAGGACCTGCATCCCTGGCCCATGGCCTGCCCTACTGCCTCCCAGGGGCTCGAGCTGGTCGCCGCCTATTTGTTGGGGACCCTGTGCTGGCAGCTGCAGGTGAAATCTCAGTCTGGTGAGCTGCTCCATTGCCTCCTGATGAGCCTCAATTTGAGACCTCCAGGCTCTTCAGGAGAAGAGATGGGCACACTAGGATCTAGAAGTCCCATGGGGCCAAGAGTACAACTAGCCACCGCCCCCTCAGGCCTGTCACTTAGTCCAGAAAACGTCTCTAGCTGGCAGTACCTAGGTGCTAGTGTGTCCTCCCCACAGGACAGTAGACTGAGTAATGGCCACTCAAAGACCTCAGGCCCTAGAGCCTGGAATGTATGAATGTCACCGCATGTGGAAAAGGGGTCTTTGCAGATGTGATTACATTAAGGATCTTGAGATGGGGAGATTATTCCAGGTTGTCCTGATGAGCCCTAAATGCTATCACAAGTATCGCTTAAAGACAGATGTAGAGGGAAAGTTCACACACACACACACACACACACACACACACACACACACAGGGAAAAGGGGATGTGCAGATCTTCACAAGAAGGATTTTTCCCTAGTGCCTTCCTAGGAACTGGGCCCCTGCCAGCCCCGTGACATCCACCCAGGGAAATGGATTTGGGCCTTGTGGCCTCCATAACCGTAAGAGAACCAATGTCTGCCGTTTAGGTCACCCGGTGTGTAATCCTCTGTCACAGGAGCCATAGGGACCTAACACAAGAACGTGCACAATGGCCTCACTATTTTGTCTTGGCCTGCAAAGCCTAAAGGATTTACAGTCTGTCTCTTTACAAAGAAAATGCTTGCTGCCATTTGGTCTAGCCTACGCTTAGAACTTAGAAAGGATTTTACATGGCCAGCAAATGGTATTATTTGGATGTCGATTTTTAAATTACTTTGGAGTTTTTAAAATAATATAATATAATAATAATATAAATAATAATAAATATAAATATTTATTATATTTATATTTATTATTTCTATATATTATTTATATATTTATATATTTATTTATATATATTTTTATAAAGTATTTATATATAAATAAAATAAATAATATAAAATGAACATATTCTCATCACTAAATGCACTCCTAATCCAATCACACAAAAACACCTACTATTACCGTGTGTTGTGTTACTTTCTTCAGGTTGTTTTCTTCCACGTAGATTGGGGGGAGTACATAGCTAAAACAATTACAGTTACATTATAACGTAATTGTATTTACGCCTTATTGCATTGTAGTCTTCACAAGACGTCACAGCTAACGCCTTCATAGTGAAGTTATTGAGTGGTTCTACTGTAATTTCCTTAAGAATTATCCAATCGTGGGTCCTCTGTGAGAGAAATATTTAATTGAAATATTACTTCCTTATTATGCTATGTTACTAAGATGAAGACTATAAAATTTTCAAGAGCTCCAGGAGTTTCTTGGTCATATCTTAATATAATCCGATCTCATATAGCAGCACTCTCCACCTGATCCTTCATGAATTTCCTATTCATATCATGTTCAAATTAAATATTGCCTAGGTTCCCACTCAGATGCAAAAAAAATTAACATAGGTGGGTTTAAATAAATGAAAAATAAGTGGTTATACCCTCAGAAAGAATCTAGAAATTCATTCAGTTAAGAATAGTCTCAAAAGAAACCTCATTCCTAAGAAATAAAGCTGGAGGCATAAGACACAAGGCTCGAGATGAACCTAACTTAAGTCTCTCCTGTTTATTTGAATCAGGACTCAACTCTGTAGAAAGAAGACCAGGATCTGGGTTCTAGTCCCATCTCTGACCTGAGTCCTTGTGTTCAGTTCACCTATCCACAAAATGAGCAGATGGGACCCCTTTTCTGTGGTCCCTCCCAACGCTGACCTCCTAAGATTCTCTGAATACTTACGCGAGTGTACCATGAAAGCAACGGTGTGTCTTCAAACAGCCTTTTCATATCCAAAGGGAAGAAGAAAACATTGTCTATTGCTGAGAGGAGGGAAAAGCCTGGGTAAGTGGCATTTGAGGGCAGCCGTGTGGTGTCATAGAGACCCTTCATGAAGAACGCCACAGGCTGCCCAGGATAAATCTTGGCAGCAGACTCCACAGCACAAGAGACCAGAGGAGTTGGCTCCATTCTCTCCGAGGTCTCTATGAACACAATGCCGCGCCCATGGCCCAGGAGGGTTTCCAGGTCCTGCTGGGACTTTTGGGGAGGAAGGCAGGAGAAGAGACAGCGGGACTTCACATTCAGCTGGTAGAAGAAGACACAGACAAGCAACAGGATGACCAACAGGGAATGCTGGAGCTCCTTCAGCATGTCTCCGTCTCTCTCCTGGCCTGCTCCTTTAAAGCAACACAACTCATTACAAAAATACACTCACAACACCTGATAAAGATGGCCCACAAGAAAACGAGCCATGAATATCACCCTGAGGATATCCTCAAAAAAAAAAAAAAGGATCAAATCAAGTACAATAATAGTAAAAAGAAAAATGCATTCACTAAGGTTTATCTGAGGAATCTGAGGACGATTCAAAACAGGAAAATAATCATTCATCCTTTTGAGTGGCCCAGAAAGCAACAGGCATGAAGAACATCACTACATGAGCTATGGTAGAAAGTTTTCTGAAGTTTTGCCCCAGGTTGTCTAGCTTCAGTTTGCAGGGCTTCAGGGAAATGGACATTTTTGGTTCTCAGGGTTTCCAAGTCAAGAGAATGGGAGAAACTTAAAAACCTTCATTTCTAGAGTCATAGCCAGGTGTTTGAGGAAACCAGAAGCACTCAGGATCTGGCCCAATTTTATAGGCACACAACAAACATTCGAAGTCAATTAATCAGAACTAGAATCTAACATCTACAATGGTGTGTTGTTGCAATTTAATTTTTCTCCCTAAAAGCACCCTCATTTCTGTCAAAGATAGCCAAATTAAAACTAATTCATTTTTTAAAAAAGTCCATTTTTAACAAATTTGGCCTAATTAATTTACAGCAAAAATAATGATTGACCATATGGGTTTTTTTTTAAAAATCTGCTTTTGTTGGAACTTTTTATAAGGAATTTCACATTGAACTTTTAATAGCCTCTCAAGGCCAGAAGCCAAACCAAATACTTGCCATCAGACTCACCTACAATACCTGGAGATTTAGAGGAATTCCTCTCTTCCTGTCGTCCCCAAAATATCCTGAGGTTCCTGTACCTGCCAGGAAGTGACATTCTTTACTCACCTTGTAAGGCTCCTGGGAACTCTATAAGCAAAGTATCAGGCCAGTATTTCCAAGGGGCTTTATTGACTCCATAAAGCCAACCTTCACTCCTTAAAGCTCTCCAGTCATATCTGAGTCAATGCATGTGTTTCTCAAATATGACATTCCAGTTAAAGCCTTGGTAATACAGCCAATGTTTTCAATGGTGTCCTGTTACAAGGAGAACAGATTCTCATTGGATTTATGTAAATGACTATAATTGCCACAAGAGAAAGAATACTCAGGGTTTCTGAATTCTGGAGGGTTCGGATAGGGAGAAAATATAATTGTTTTTATTTGCTTACAAAGAAATATTTTATCAAATTCCTATTAACTCATAGATACCTTAAGAGAAAAGGTTTCCTTAAATCTGGAAGAGCAAACACTAGAGAACAAGCAATGTTTAAACAACACTCATAAAACCTATAATCATCTTTTTCAGTTCACTTAGTCTCATGTTATTCATTCTTGTTCTGTTTGAAGGCAGTTTTTCCACTAGTTCTAGAGACTCTTACCCAGTTTAGTTTTATGATCTTAAAGATATCAGAGACCTGTGTTCATCAAAAGTCCTTTTCATGAATCTCCTTGAGGCAGAAACACATTTGCAAGAGCATCAGGACAATAACTGTCAATGACAAAAAAACTCAAAAATGGCCGTGGTTGAAAGTCTGATGGGAGTGTATCAGAATGCAGCTGACAAGGAAATTTGGTTATTTTTGTGACACACAACATTTCTATAAGTAGAATTTCAAGTGATGACATTATACCAGGACATATTAAAGCTTTAGGAATTTTTTATGTAATTTTTGCAATAGTTATAGCATTTACCCACACAATATAACTTAAGAAGGTTTATCATCATTTGTTTGACAATGCTTCCCATGTAACTTAACATGCCAAATAAACAACTCTAATTAGTCAAAAAGACTCCATTTGGAATTTGAATTTGGGAGAAGTTTGTTAAAAACCTCAGAGATTTCTAAAGCACATGCCTAAATAAGATTACAAATCATTACAAAACTTAAAACATAATTAATCCAAAAAAAGAAAACCTTAATTAATCTGTTTAACAAAGGTGGCCTTAAGAGATTCTAAAAGCAAATACAGCATACATAGTAGTTAACAAAATTTAGCTCTTTTAATATTGAGAAGTTTTAATTTTCTTAAGTAATCAAAAAAAAACTGATGAAGACAAAGCATCTTTGTTTTTTCTGGGCAGAAAAAGAAAAAAAAACCTTTGCTCATAATTTCTTATCAAGAGCAGACCAACAATCCAAGAAAACTTAGTCTTTTTAACTGAGAGAAAAACCAAATTCCAATCTTACACTAGTGCACTTTCAAAATTCATTCATTCCAATCTTAGTCTTGACCATGTATATAATTATTTTCCAAAGATTCTCCTTCACGAACCTTTTATTTTTTTAATTTTATTTTATTACGTTATGTTAGTCACCATACATTACATCATTAGTTTTTGATGTAGTGTTTCATGATTCATTGTTTTCGTATAACACCCAGTGCTCCATGCAGTACTTGCCCTCCTTAATACCCATCACGGGGCTAACCCGTCCCCCCACTCCCCCGCCCCTCTAGAACCCTCAGTTCGTTTCTCGGAGTCCATAGTCTCTCATGGTTCATCTCCCCCTCCGAATTCCCCCTCTTCATGTTTCCCTTCCTTCTCCTAATGTCCTCCATGCTCTTCCTTATGTGCCACAAATAAGTGAAACCATATGATAATTGACTTTCTCTGCTTGACTTACTTCACTTGGCATAATCTCCTCCAGTTCCATCCACGCTGATGTAAAAGTTGGGTATTCATCCTTTCTGATGGCTGAGTAATATTCCTTTGTATATATGGACCACATCTTCTTTATCCATTCTTCACGAACCTTTTATAACTTTCTTTTTCCATTTAGAGTTTGTCCTAACATTTTCCTCTCTAAACAACCAGTCTCATTTCAGGACTAAATTATTTTTTTTCCTCAACAAAAATGTGTCCTCATTCTTTATACAAGAGGTATCTCTCACTTTCCTACCTACAGAGTCGCTTTCCATATTATTTCCAACAGTCTCAATCACATTTATCAGAATTTTAATTCTTAAAAACCTCAGTCTCTAGTGAAAACTAAGTAGTAACCAATTATGAGCTGTCTGTTACATCAGAATTCTTTAAATTGGCCAATTTATGAAGATATTTCATAATTTCTAAAAATGTGTTTTTTCATAGTACAATTTTCAATAAGGCATAATACATGTTTATAAACAGACCCAAATTTATCTTTAGTTTCTCTGTAATTAGAGGCAAAAGCAAACAAACCTATGTTTAGTAAATAATATTTCAGTATTTTACCTTATTTAAAAACTCTTTATTCAACTTATTTGCTTTTAACAATTATCCATGAATACTTCATGAGACAGATAAAATCAACCATTATTTTAAATCATCTTTGCTGACAAATTGCAACAGAGATAACAAGTTTATTTGACCTTTAGTGAACCTTGGTAAAATAAAAGTTTTAAATTTAATGTTGACAACTCTAAAGACATGTCTATTTTTTTATTTTATTTTTATTTTTTTTGAAAGGGTAGGAGCCTTATTTTATTTATTTAGCATATAATGTATTACTGGTTTCAGAGGAAGAGGCCAGTGATTCATCAGTCTTATATAATAACCAGTGCTCATTACATCACATGCCCTCTTTAATGTCTATCACCCAGTTACCCCATCGCCCCTACCTCTCTCCCCTCCAGCAACCCTGTCTATTTTAATTAAACCAAGAAACTTGAATTTTAATTTATCAAAGATTATCTCAGACCACACGAACTTGAAAAACATTTGGATTAGTTCTTATCTTTCTGAGTTTTAGAATGCCCAATTTTTACAAGTGTTTGCCTTTAAGCCAAATAAAAAGAACTCTTTCACAAATTAATTGTTAGCAATGCCATCCAGAGGTAGAGAAAATATCTCACATTTATAACACATATGGACCCATATACACAAACAAGATGCCACCAAAATTTAGCCTTTGTTTCACTAATATTTGTGGAGAGTGGAGAGGACATTATAGACCTAATTCCCAAATATCTCTCTTTTACAAAACAAATCTAATTACAAGGTACCGTTATAATCTATGGATCCATTAATGAGTCATTTTCCATTTTCCAGTTAGAACATGGCCATTTTTGTCCAAAGATACCAAAAGCTACAGCAACCAGTAAGCCAAATGAAGCCCAGAGTGCCTCTGTGGTATTGGTGCTACCCCCCCCCCCAAAGTTGGGGGCTTCACTGTTTGAACCGATGGCTTCCTAGCTTCTGACTGGGTAGGCTTATGATTGGCTCTCTCTAATTGTGTACACAAGGAAACGAATTCAGACATGTCAAAAGAATCCCATTTAGGCCATCTGAGACTCAGATCATCCTTAGTGAAAATGTCCCAATTAAATCACCACTTGCAAGTAGAGGTTCCGTGTGTGCTGTACATCGAGCCTGCAGGAGTTTCCCGAGACACCTCCTCTAGGCTTTCAGTCACCTGAAAGCACCATTTGGCCTGAAGGAGCAAGTGTCCCTTCTCTTTGGAGCTGAGTGATTCAGTCTATCATATTTCTAGCCAGAAAATTTACTCAAGCCTTCTATTAATAACACCAGTTAGCATCACGCCAAATAAAACAACCAACCCATCAGCTCCAACCCCTCTAGGTTATCTCCACCTAGAGAATATTACTGGTAACCCTCAACAGCTCCAAGGAAAGTCAGGAGCATCAACTTCAGGTAAGGAGGTCCAGATATCAGGAGAACTCACCTGATACACCTGCGAGGTACTAAGAAGTTGGAGGGGCACAGAGGGCCCCTGCTGGTACCGAGCCTGAGTTCCCGAGGACCCACAGGTAATCTCAAAAGAGTTGTTCTGATATCCTGTTGACTATACGGAGAAATGTCGATACAAATTGAACAAACCTTTTAGAATTTTTGAAAGAAAGAGTTTTATTTGAACCCAAGCTAGGACAGTTGCCCAGGATACACAATCTTCACAAAGAAGAGAGTGCTCTGGTGAAAGAACATTTGGTGCACTTTAAAAAGTTACAAATAATTAGACAAAGGACATTTCAGAAAGCTGCAGACCTTATCTTAAGCTTCTAGTATAATGCAAGCCTGTATAACTTTTAAAATTATGGGAACCAGGGAGGTTTTTTTGTTTTGTTTTGTTTTTCTTTTTCTTATCTTTATGTTTGGGATGCTCCTTTTTGGTTATTTTTTAAACAAATCAGATGTCCAATCTATGCTCAGGGCAGAAATAAAACCCATCTCTGAGGTTTTGCAAAGTCATTTTGACCTTGGTAGTGTTAAAGTATAGCTTCTCTGAGAGCCCAGGAACAGGACCCACAAATATTAAAGTTGAAAGATTCCTTTATTTTATCACCTTCCAGCCAGGAACTTGAAGTTAGCCAATATGTGAGGTCTTAGCAATGACAAGTTTTTCCTGCTATACTTTCCAATAAATCACCGCTTAATCATCCAATTCAACAACCAGGGGAATTAAATCATTGGCAGAAGCTCAACACCAAACACAAGGAGTTCCCAGGAAGCTTCTCCCTTTACTAAGATGACCCAAACACAGAGACTTGGGGAATATAAGGAGTTTGCACAATCTATCAGGTGACCCATACACCAACCCCAGTCCTTCCTGTTGGTGGGTCTATCAGGGAGGGTTAAAAAGTATCATAACACAACCCCGGAGCCGACAGATCATGCACCTGGGCGGTTCGCTTCAGTGGAAATCATGGGCAGAGACATGGGAAAGTTTCCTCACTAGACAACCCTATAAATTGATTCTAACTTTGCAAACACAAGTTTCGATGAAAAGAAAAGCAAAGCCATCACCACAAAGAAGCAATGGACAAACCCCAGTAGTCCAAGGGCCTGGTGATCTGGAATGGGAATTGATTCCCTGATTTCAGTGACAGGGTTTTAGGAAGGGCGCTTTTGCCCTGAGGTCCCCCTTGTGGTATGCGAACTGCCTGTCAGTCTCAGGAGGTCAGCTTCATCAGCCTCCACTGATGGGGCAGTCCCCACATCTCCCAAGTCAGTGTCACTCTCCTGCAGTCTGCTCCCCAGCACCCCTGACAGGAGCACTTAGTAATCCTCTTTGGAGGCATCCTCTGCTCAGGGAGTCACCTGTCTTCAGTCCAGAGCCTTCTCCCAGCCCCGATCAGGTATCCACAGTTCCCCCTGGATGCTCGGATGTGAACAGGGAGGTCCCCTCTTGAGCAGACTTTGGATCCTGACATAGCAGGTCCTACATCAAGGAAGGTAAACCTGTCCCACTCGTCTATGGCTTCCGGTTCCCATGTGCCCGAGGCTCCCCAGGACAGCTCTTTGGGTCTCCACACACACACCTCTTCCTTTGCAACTGAATTTATTCTCTGAAACTAGGAATTCTAGGTTCAGCATGGCTTGGCATCTTTCCAGAGTTCCCTAGCATTAGATAGATTGGGTTTCTTTCCTTGCAGAGGGCAAGGGAGAGCAGAGCTCCTGCTCCCCACTCTAGGGTAACTAGAGGGCTCTGTTTGAGGGGAGCGGTACTTTCCTAGATACATCCCGTGTCTCAGGTACTCATATATCCTAGTGCCTTCCAACTGCTTGCATAGAGGCCAAAATCACTAAGCGGGTGGTCAAGTCAGAGAACAGAGAAGTAGTTGGTGGTCTTTGTCACAGGGATGAAAGTAAGCATTGGTGAAGCCCTGAAATCCTAAAGCACAAAAAGTAGGACCTGTCTGCCCAAGAACTAAGGAAAGGGTATGATGGAAAAAACACTGAGCTTAGAGTCTTGCCTCTACCCAGCCCAGGCTGAGGGCACCAGGACAATACCCCAGTCTGCCTGGAGCCTCGGCTCCCTCGTGCGCTCTGGAAGATAACCGACTGCAGGCCCATGGGGAGCATGAAAGAGCTCTCTGGAAGGCAAAGATGCAACACTCACTGTCCACCATGGCGAAGAAGAGACAAAAAGAACATGATGACTGTAGATGACATTTGGACTCCATGATGAAAAACATTAAGTTGTTGTTTTCAGATGAACAAAATCTATTTCCCAGTAAACCTTGAAAAAGGAAATCCTTGGCCCTGTGTGAGAGAGGATGAGGCATGTGCAGAAGCCAGCAGTAGGTCACTGGTACCTAAGGGGGTGTCTTTTACGGTCCCAGCGTGAGGTCCTTTCTAAGTCCCTCTGAGGGGGTCTACTGTCACCTGAGCCACTCTATCAGAAACCGCCCCGGGCCTCCAGATCCATCCCTTCAGTGTTCCCTCTTCCCTTAAGAGCAGAACTGTTTTTCCTTCCTTCTGCTCCCCTTTCTGTTCTCTCTGGCTGGACCACGCTAACCTTCTGTGTCTGTGGTCAGGAGCCTCCTAACCAGAGGCTCAAGGGTGGACTTCAGGAAACCCTGAACCCTGGGGTCACAGCTTGCAGCAGTCCCTTTACCTGGATGCCACCTATCCATAGCTTCTCCTACGTGTCACATCAGGAATGTCCTTGCTCTTGGACCCTCTGTGACATTAACTCTGTTCAAAACTCATCAAAATATCTTCACCGCACAATCGCAGGCCTTCTCCAACCAGCCAAGCGGCCCCTGGGGACCCCAATGTAGATATCTGAGGAGACACGTACAAAGAACTATTTTCCTTTGAGGAGTGGATGGGTCCGAACACACTGGTGACAGTCACGTGGGCATCTAGGTAGTGTCCGCTTCCCTAGGAGTTTCTAACCACTTGTGAAAGATTTTTTACTTCCTCTGTTGCAATGTAAGCCCGGCTTGGTCAATCCCATGGACTATGGAGCCTGGTGTTTACTGCTAAGTAATAAGATCTTAGGAAATGTGGATTGCTATAGACCCAAAGAGATGAACAGGGTGGGAAAAAAACTCTTGAGTCCAGTGTTCTTTGGATTTTACAATGCTGTTCTTTGGATGTTTGGAATTAGTACCAAAAAAATAAAATAAAATAAAAAATAAAAAGCAGTACCAGGAAGAAAACCACAGAACTACAGCAGAAATTTCCTCAACACTCTAGCCCTATGGATAACTTCTGATAACTTCAACTGTAAGTAGTTCCGTGTTTAGGCCTCAACTCCCTCTGCCATAAAGGACTCACTGTATTGAGAAGGAAAAGGTAAAGTCATTTTTAACAATAAATGTTTGTTGAATTGAATTACATGTGGAAAGCACACTTCTCAATTCTGTAGCTTCTTTGAACTCTGATTGACTGTAAGAAGGAAATATGCAAGCCCACAATACTTGTCCTATTTACTTTGGAACTGTGGGGACCACAGTTCCGGTTTTTAACTTATTTGTTGAGCAAGTGGGACTGATAAATTTGTTAAAGCATTCAACTATCAATAGGACAAAACCAATATGGAAATATCTTATCAACGTTGCTAATTTCTTTCACCACTCTTCTGAGGCTGGAACAAAGACTGGAGTGTTGGGTTTATATGAATAGTGAGGAGACAGCTGGACAGAGGCAGTTCACTGCAGAGTGAGAAATAATCCATAGCCTAACACTTGGGAACCCATGGGAGAATCATTGAAGCACATTAAGGAGTGACATTATCAACATTAAATCTTGAAAAAAAAAAATGTTTTTACTAAAGATCAGTGAGTTCGTGCCAGAGTAAGATCCCCTTGTCCCGGGGCAGTATTTTGAACTATTCAGCATGTTTAAGAAAATTGCTCTAGCTTTGTGTTTCTGGAAATACTGCTCTTTGTTCTCCACTCAGCCATACCAGTTAAATATGCTCCTGTTGACAAAATTTTATGTAGCCATCAAGAACGTGTGTCTGGGTTTGTTCTGGAAATTACTGTATCTACACGTCACTTCCCCCCTTTTTAAAACTGTACCTGCAAGTAAAAGAAGAGATGGGGATAAAGGCAGGGAGATGAGAGAAAATAATTGTTCTCAGTGAAACAATTGTGCCCCAAACACCAGAATTTCAAGCTAAAGAACAGAATCTGCAAGAAGCCCGCAGCAAACAGTGGACCAGGCCGAGCGTGGAAGGCGGAAGGTGTTTGCTATTACACTCTGTAAGTCAGTATTTCATTTCTCCTTCCTACAAGGATTTGGGAACATCTTTGGAGCCACCTGTGCCAAGTGTCCACAAGGCACAGGAACTTTATAAGATTGAGTGGCCATGAAAATCAGCACTTCCCAATATGGCTGAAACTGTTATAGACTGAATGTTTGTGCCCCGCCCCCAACCAGCACCAAAATTCATATGTTAAAGCCTTAATCCCCCCATGATGTTTTTGGAGGTGGGGTCTTTCAGAGGGAATTAGGTTTAAATGAGGTTATGAAGTTGGCATCCTTTAAGAAGATGAGATCTCTCTCTCTCTCTCCCTGAGCATGTACCAAGGAAAAACCATGTGATGACATAGCCAGAAGGGAAGATATATATAAACCAGGAAAAGGATCCTCACCAGGAACCCAACCTGCACCCTGATCTTGGACTACCCAGCCTCCAGAACTGTGAACAGCAAATGTTTGCTTATTAAGCCACCGGTCTACAGTGTTTTGTGATAGCAGCCCAAATGACTGAGAAAGAAACCCCATAGTAAGTTTTCTCTGATTTCCTTTCACATATTTTCATAAGAATCTGTTTTTGAGCCATCGGTAAGTTTGGAACTTGTCTTAAGATTTGAAGAATTGAACCCAGGCCTCCAGTGGGGGAAAGGACAACTTCATCTGCAATAGAAACCCATAACGGGTGTAATTGTCCTCCTTACCTGAGACCTCTCTGCCTTCCCTTCCTTTTGTCCTTCCACACACCTCTTGTTTGTCCTCTTGTTATGCCTTCTCTCTGTAAATGGAGCCTCCTGGTCTCCCTTATCTCAGTGCCTAACAGCTTCACCATGCACCCTGTACCCAAATCAGGAA